AGCGCAGCCACCCGGGGCGCCCCATCTCCGGAGGTGCCAGCCTTTGAGACTTGGCACTTCGGGGTACCTTGAAAGGTAATGGTGAAACCCTTTGCCCTTTTAGAATGCAAATGTTCCCAGGGCTGCCTCAACTCAGAACCCAGGGGAGTTTGCCTTTGGGAAGGACTGACTGGGTTTTCTTAGCTGTAAACAAACAAACAAACAAACAAACAAACAAACAAACGGTGGAGGCCCTGGTGAAACCCAGGTCTATTGCCAGAATTCGGAATATTTCGAATTTTGGAAAATTTTCCCAGTGCAACCCTAGCTGGATTGGCTCAGTGTCAGCCTGCAGACTGAAAGGATTGCAGACTTGATCCCCAGTAGAGGGGAAGCAGCTAATCAATGATTCTCTCTCATCATTATTTCTCTCTCTCTGCCCCTCTCCCTTCCTCTCTGAAATCAATAAAAATATATTTTAAAAAATATTTTCCCAGTGCATATACGGTGTATTACTTAACAGTCAGTGGTGGGTGAAACTGCCGTGTGTGTGTGTGTGTGTGTGTGTTGTGTGTGTGTGTGTGTGTGTGTTTTAAGCATTTTAATATTTCCTCAAGCAAAGGCGTGGACTTTCACTATAAGTGGAATAAAGTAGGACAGAAAAGTGTGCCTCATTAAGCCAGATCCGGTTTTGTAACAAATGGTTCCAAACTGTGGGGAAACTCGGTTTCCAGAGCTGTGGGGACTTGGGAATTGTAGATAAAGGATCTCGGACGTGGAATAAACCTCTTGGCAGTGATGGGAATCGGACTGCAGTGGTGCACAGGCCGAGAGGAAACAGGGCCTGGTGAGCATCTGCTCAGTGAACGGGGGCAAACACTATGAATAGTGTTCGAGCTCAGGGTGTGTCTGATACTCTGTTCTGCAATCCTAGGGAAGTCTGCTTTTCCGGTTCTGAGGCAAGGGGCTGTCAGCCCAGCCCTCGATGAAGAATGGAAAAGGAACAGGAGTTTTATTGCTGAGAGCTTGGCCAAGATGGGGGGAAGGCTCTTGGGGTGCCAGGCTGGGTGACAAGGCTGACAGCCTTTGGAGAGTGTGTTGCCCTGAGCAAGTAATTTCTCCTGATTCAGCCTGGGTTTCTGCATGTGAGACAGGCACCTGGCTAGGTGTGCTGGGAGCACACTCTCTAGACTGGACATTGGTTTTTATTTTCAGCTCATTTGAGAAGGAGAGAGCTGTGGCTGGAAGGCCAGGATAGTTCAACCGAAGGGCTTTCACGCTCTCCTTCCCTTAGGCTCTGGTCCCTCAAAACCAAAGAAGGGACTCCCCTCTTTCAGCCCTGTGAAAGAGTGATTGGATAGCAGAAGGGGTGGATGAAGCATACTTCCCTGGGGCTCAGTGTGTGCTTTCCAACTGTGTGAAGACTGAAGACGTGCTGTGCTTTAGTTTCTAGAACATAACATACTCTGCTCTTCATTGGGGCCTTTGCACCTGATGTTCCTGATGCTGTCAACACACTTGTCCCAGTTCTTTATACATCTCGCTTCCGGTCATTCAGGTCTCAGCTCAAGTGTTCCGTCTTCAAAGAGGCCAGCAACCCACCATAATTACCTTCCCCAACATAACCTCCTTTTGCTGTCTTCATAACTCTCCCTTCTTTCTGATATTATTCATTTTCTTGACTGTTCTGACATGTCTGCCCCCAGCACACCAACTACACAGGGATTAAAATCTTTGTTTTTCCCCCAGCATCTCCCCAGTGCCTATCACACACAGCACAAGGTAAACAGTTGGAGTCCATTAGTACTTGTCAAATACAGGTGAGATTAAGGCTTGGGAATCAGGCCTTCATTAGATCTCGTTTCGAC